ACACCATTCTGATTTTCTAGTCTTTGTATTTGTATCAGAGACACTTATAGCTTCTATTAACACCATTCTGATTTTCTAGTCTTTGTATTTGTATCAGGGACACTTATAGCTTCTATTTACACCATTCTGACTTTCTGTCGAGGCTTATGATTGGCTGTATTCGCTTGCCTACAATCCAATCAAATGGCTTCATCTACAAACTTCTGTGATACAAAAAAGGTGACCATTGTAGTCAAGGTATAAGTATGAAGTTTGTTATAGCTTGACATTGTTAAGATACAAGAAAGGTGGCTATTGCAGTCAAGGTATAAGTATGAAGTTTGTAATAGCTTGATATTGTTAAGATACAAGAAAGGTGACTATTGTAGTCAAGGTATAAGTATGAAGTTAGTAATAGCTTGACATTGTGAAGATGAGTTTTCTCCCTGGACAGAACACAAAGTGACCACTAACTGACCATTGAAGTGACCAGTGGATGACCATCATTACTGTGATAGGTCTATCAATAATTGATTGAAGAGAAGGTAATATCCTGATACCACCCCTCACTAGGGAGATCAACATGTCATTTAAAGGAACATGTCCATTAACTTAATTGTTGTGTCCCCCCGGGAGATTTGGCCAATTGGAGAGAGCAATTCATTTTAACTGAAACATTTAATGAGGCAAGCTTGTATTGAAGGAATTGTAAAGAAGTTTTCTAAAAATTTGTATGTGTATCAGGGACACTGATAGCATCAATTTACACCTTTCAAATTTTCAATCAGATGTCTGTGGTTCCTGCAATTACAGAAATGCTCTTTTTGTCACTATTGACGTCTGATTGAAAATTGGAATGATGTTAATTGATGATATCAGTGTCCCTGATACACATAAAAAATTTAGAAACTGTTTCTCTGTAAAACACTAATCACCTTGAAAAAGTCATCTCTCCTCTGTCATAAACCCAAATAATTCCAGCTGTAAATGGGTACAGATAATCTAGGAAAGATCAATGCCTAGAGGTTTGGCCTAGGACCAGCGGGTAGAAAGGATCCTCATTATTCCAGTCAAACCAGCTGTAAATGGGTACAGATAATCTGGGAGAGATGAATGCCAAGAGGTTTGGTCAAGGACCTGCTGGTAGACAGAATCCTCATTATTCCAGTAAACCCAGCTGTAAATGGGTACAGATAATCTGGGAAAAATCAATGTCAAGAGGTTTGGCCAAGGACCAGCTGGTAGAAAGAATCTTTGTGAACCTAAGTTATTAACTTTGTAAAATATAGTTGTTTGTTTCTTACCATGAAGTCGTGGTCTTTGACTATTCGTTTTGTTATTGATACCAAAATGGCTAAGTCTTATTTTGACATCTCTAATAAGAGAAGTTTATTCTCAACCTACGATCATTTTGACAGGCACCATTCATCACCGTAAACGTATAGGATGGAACTCTCCCTTTGGAATTACAGACGTCTTTCATTCCTGCTATGATAGCTTCCAATGAATTCAAAGAGCAGCTGGAATGCCAGGAACCCTTTGTAAGAATCTGGCAGTGCCATAATTAACTTTCTTAGTTCTGCATGTTTAGAATTCTCCAAAGTCTTAGGTTTATTACTTGACATGAATTGAAGTTTTACTTCCTTTGTTTCTGTCCTGATTTCCCTCCTGTCAGTGATATAGGTAAGAGAGACTGACATGGAAAAAGTGTCTAGTCGTGCGGATGGGACAATAAACCAAGGCCCTGTGTGCTACAGGCTGTACATGTTAAAGATCCCTCAACAGTTGAAAATCAAAAGATAGTGAACCACAGCCATATACCCCCACCATGGCATGCGGATGGTAAATATTAAAGATTTTGGGGCAAGGGCAATTACTCTGCTTCTAACGGTCGAAAATAGCTCAAATTCGAACTTGATCTTTGCTTTATGAATATGTATACACATGTCGAATTTCATTTGATTCCATCAAAAATTCTAGTTTTTAGAGCAAACGGTGGTTGACGGACGGACCGACAGGGGTGCCGACAATATACATCCACATAGAGAGATGTGGACGTATAAAAAGAGCAGTCTAATACCGCTGTCCTGGCAAAATTACCCTCATTGCACACTGCATGGCGTTGTCAGTCTTTATTAGCCCATTTGGTAGGAAAGTAGGATATAAACCTCCATTCATTTCACTTCATTTTTAAAAAATGACAGACACTCTCCATTATATGAGTAAATAAACAAGGAAGAAATTTCCTCATTGCCCACTTCATGGTGCAGAAAAGTTGGACGTAAAACATTGAGTGAACTCGGTGAACAGAAGTAATGAAACTGGCAAGAAATTACCCCATTGTCCACCACCATACCATACCTAATTAGGTACAGAACAGTTGGACGTAAAAGTCCATTTCAATTCATTTGTAACAAACGACAAATACTTGGCTTTACATGAACATTAAGTGAACTCAGTGAACAGAAGAAACGAATCCAGTACTCTAACAAACCTACTGGACACAAATAGTGGACATTATTGATTTTCTGTCACTGCTGCTGGACATGATCTTTCTTGCGTGGTTCATTTCAATGAAACTTTGAAGCAAGTACAATCAATCTATTAAAGAGTTTACAGAGTTGGTAATTTGTGATAAGTAAGTTGGATAAACTATTTAGAATCAGTTTTCATTGTTTTTCTGGACGTTTGGTTCTAAATGTATTATATTAACCAGGTAAAGATGGATTTTGTCTTTGAATTTCTTTTTTGTATTTGATTTTTGTATTTGATTTTGTATTTGATTTGATTTTTGTATTTGATTTGATTTTTGTATTTGATTTGATTTTTGAATTTGTTATTTTTTTTGTCTTTGAATTTCTTTTTTGTATTTGATTTTTGTATTTGATTTTGTATTTGATTTGATTTTTGTATTTGATTTGATTTTTGTATTTGATTTGATTTTTGAATTTGTTATTTTTTTTGTATTTAAAATTCTTTTTCTTAGTTGATGTTCTTTTTGTATTTCCTTTTTGTATTTCTTTTTGTATTCCTTTTTCTTTTTTTTCTTTTCTTTTCATTTCTGATTTTCTTTCATTGTCTTTTTTGTATTTGAATTTCTTTTTTGTATTTGAATTTCTTTTTTGTATTTGAATTTCTTTTTTGTATTTGAATTTCCTTTCATTTTGCTTTTAGTATTTCAATTTCAGAAGTACTAGAAATGTACGAAAATCACATAATTCCTTTAAAAATATCTCAAACTAGGAATTTTACTCACTATTTCTATAGATGTCTTTTCTATATATGACAGAGTCTCAAGAAAAGACAAGTCGTCATTTTAACTTTCGAACGTAGATAATTCTAGATACACATGGATTTGAAGGCTCAAATTTCGACAGTGAGCTGTGAACACTATTACTGATTGACTTAACTAAAAAATTTATGATTGGTTAAAGAAATGGTGCATCTGTCTATTTAATTACAGGATCTGATCTGGACAGGAAGCGATATTTAAAAGTGTTAATGTGAAAATTGGACTTTTATCGCACCTCAGATGAATTAACAGTTTTTTTATATAAAATTGAAGTAAAAATTAAAGAGGCATTCTGCTTTTTTTTTAAAAACATTTTCATTATCAAAAATGTCGTAAATTATACCTGAAAATATTTCTAAAGTATGTTATTTATATCTATGTATCTACTTGATCAAACTGAATTTGTTTTAAAAGGGTTGATTAAAAACGGTTAATTAAGCAATGGCTTTTTAATATTTAGTTGAAATCTTTAGAATACGTAGGAGATATATTTCTCTACAATTAGGCGTTTATTTTACTTAAATCCGTACAGTAGTTTTCTAACAGCTTTCAAAAAACATAACGAACTTAAAAACCTTACGTAATGTTTTTAAATATTTTTGGTGTTTAAAAATTAACGGCTGGATTTTTTTAGTTAAAACTTTCAGATACGTTAAAGGGCACATTTCTCTACATTTTGGTGTATAGTTTACACTAATTTGTGCAAAAGAATTTTTTGGCCTACAAAAAAAGAGGAATGTCGCTTTAAGTGCATTATTTTAAAGTTTGTCATTTTGAATTTCCTTTCGAGGTTTTTGACTTTTGAAATGAAAAGGTTAAAGTTGTTTCCAGAAATTCTATATAAGGAAATGGATCTTATTGTTGTATTTTTAGATTATAAAAACAGGTTTCCAGCTGTTCATATCACTTATCAGATTAAAAACCTGATGTGAAGTTTGCCTACGATTAAATAGGCAAAGATGACTACTGTATGATTTCATTGCTATTTTCCATTAGTTTATTGTCATTTTGTAAAAAGGTTTTCGTAATTTTTTTTATGTATATCAGGGACACTGATATCATCAATTTACACCATTCCAATTTTCAATCAGACGTCTGTGGTTCCTGTAATTCTACTTGAACTAAGTGTTAATCGTTATCAAACACTTATTTTTCATGGAATTGCGGCACCATAAAAATAAAATAATTCACTTTTGATTTAACTGTACAAGAACCTGGTGTTTCTTCTAAATATTTAACAATTCTAATAGAGGGCAGTATTGTTATTTATGTGGTAAATTTCTGAAAAAAAATTGGAAGCGAGATGGATTGTCGTCTGTTAGGCAATTAGCTTCTGTGAGTTCGTGTTCCAGAAAAATTCTGATGGCATGGCCAGTGCCTCCGAGAGTCAACCTGGTATTGTACCAAGTCACAGAAGGGCATGAGGAGTTGTGAAATTTTTAAGATAAATCATTTCTTATTTTTCTGATGCCATGGCCATTGCTTTCGAGAGTGTGAATTAGGCAAATAGATTTTGTGAGTTCACATTCCAGAAAATTTCTAATGGCATGGCCAGTGCCTCCTAGAGTCTACCTGGTATTGGCTTTCAACCCCTAGTACCAAGTCAAAGAATGGCATGAGGCGTTGTGAAATTTTTAAGCTTAATCATTTCTTATTTTATGATGCCATGGCCATTGCTTTCGAGAGTGTGGACTTAATGTTTCTTTTTTTCTCATTTCAGATCTTCAATATGAGTGAGTCAGATTGTTCACACGACGGCGTTCGAGACGTACTCCAGGTTCTTCAAGTGAACATCACCTTCAACAGCAGTCAGTGTCCACAAGTTCTTCAACCCAAAATCGTGACCCATTCTCAGTATTTCTACTCTTATTTCACTCCTGTCATCCTCATGATAGGACTCACAGGGAATCTTTTGTCCCTGCGCGTGTTTTTATCCAAAAATATGCGTAAATTGTCGGCTAGTACGTATCTCGCCGCCTTATCCACCTCTGACATCTTGGCACTCATTTTCTATGTGTTAGTTGATTGGTTAAAACGAGGATTACCAGCCTTGAACCCTGACCTTCAAGTGACCTTTCTAGAGACTAACGTGACTTGTCAAGCGTTTCTGTACTTGTCCTATCTGAGTCGCTTTTTATCTGCTTGGTTCATAGTGAGTTTCACAGCCGAGCGGTACATAGGAGTGTGCTTACCCTTACAGCGGAAAAATATATGTGGTAAGCGCTTTTCTCAAAAAATTATATGCACGTTGGTCGTGTGTTCAGCTTGTATAATGATGTACAAGCCTTTTTTAAGTGGAGTATACCAAATTAATCACACGAAGGTGAAAATGTGTACAAGGGATCCAGAGTTATCTTTTCCTGTGTTTATTTTGGACAGCATCTACGCAGTGCTAATCACTTTTATTCCATTTATAATCATCACAGTGCTAAACACTTTAATTATGCGGAAATTATTTTTACGGAACAAAAAGCACCGGTCGATCAAAATTATTACGGAAGAAAGCATCATCAAATTGGAATTTACCATTATTTTGTTGGTGATATCGTTTGTGTTCATTGCGTTAAATTTGCCATTTTTTTGTGTATGGTGCCGTCAATTTCTGCTGTCTGTTTCTGCAACCATGAACGAACATGCTCGCGATTTTGACAATATGCACGGACTACTTCTCATAACTCGTGTGATTTTTTACCTGAACTATTGCGTGAACTTTTTCTTGTACAGTGTGACAGGGGCGTATTTTCGAAAAGAATTGCGAATTCTGTTTTTTTACAAATCCCCGGCCATGAAAGACTATCGACGCTACAGCCACTACACGACAACGCCAAATTCTTGGGTTTGACTAAGAATTTGCTGCTTAAAAGACTTGTTCATTTTGAAGCAAAAACCAGAAGAGTTGCCCCTAGAAACGGTTTGACGATTGGTTCTTGGCAGCCATTTTGTCAAAACACATTTGTGCATACTGTTACAGACACATAGTGCTTTAAGTTGGTATAGAGACAGATTTTTTGTGAAATCCAGTGAAACCTTGTTTGGAATGGAATGTGAACACTCTGAAAGAGATATTGTGTTGGCAAACCGAATGGAGTGATATCAGGTGTCATAAGAAATGCTTGAGTTTGTAGTGATTAAAATAAATTCAGAAGTGCTCTGCATCTTTTCTGGATGGTTGGAAAAAGTTTGGAGTCAAATTGAGTGGTCATTTGGATTCTTGAAATGAGCCATTCCTACTCGAGGAAATCCGACATCTTTTTCAAGAGAAAATTTGGTATTCCTGGAGCACAGTGTTTGGTGTCATGCACTTCAGAGGAGTTAAATGAACCGTTGGATTTGGATTAGATGGTCTTTGGATTCTTCTAAAGGAGTGACTTTGGATTCTAAAGGAGTGACTTTGGATTCTAAAGGAGTGAGTCTTCAAGAATTGCATTAGAATTCTTTCTGGAAAGGCTGTCTTTGGATTCTTCTAAAGGAATGCCTCTGTAAGGCTGTCTTTGGATTCTTCTAAAGGAATGCCTCTCTAAGACTGTCTTTGGATTCTTCTAAAGGAATGCCTCTGTAAGACTGTCTTTGGATTCTTCTAAAGGAATGCCTCTGTAAGACTGTCTTTGGATTCTTCTAAAGGAATGCCTCTGTAAGACTGTCTTTGGATTCTTCTAAAGGAATGCCTCTGTAAGACTGTCTTTGGATTCTTTGAAAGGAATGCCTCTGTAAGACTGTCTTTGGATTCTTTGAAAGGAATGCCTCTGAAAGACTGTCTTTGGATTCTTTGAAAGGAATGCCTCTGAAAGACTGTCTTTGGATTCTTCTAAAGGAATGCCTCTGTAAGACTGTCTTTGGATTCTTCTAAAGGAATGCCTCTGTAAGACTGTCTTTGGATTCTTCTAAAGGAATGCCTCTCTAAGACTGTCTTTGGATTCTTCTAAAGGAATGCCTATGTAAGATTGGCTTTGGATTCTTTGAAAGGAATGACTTTCTGACTTTGCCTTTGCATGTTGTGAACTCTCTGAAATGTATCGTTTATGTGTGCACCCTTTTGCTTCAAAATGACAATTTTTTTAAGCAGCTTTTATTCTTAACTATTCCTTTGCACATCTTTCTGACCTCATGCTCAAAATAGGACTTTAATATCCAGATAGAGCTCAAAATAGGACTTTAATATCCAGATAGAGCTCAAAATAGGACTTTAATATCCAGATAGAGCTCAAAATAGGACTTTAATATCCAGATAGAGCTCAAAATAGGACTTTAATATCCAGATAGAGCTCAAAATAGGACTTTAATATCCAGATAGAGCTCAAAATAGGACTTTAATATCCAGGTAGAGCTCAAAATAGGACTTTAATATCCAGGTAGAGCTCAAAATAGGACTTTATTATGTGAAAAGAGCTCAAAATAGGACTTCAATATGTGGACAAAGCTCAAAATGTGGACAGATCGCGTAACAGGACTTCAAAATATAGCATTCAATATCTGGATGTTGACAGCTGAAATCTGACTCGTAGTTTTGGTAAATTACTTGCCTTATGCTCAAAATGTGAAATTTCACGTGATTTCAATGTGTTGACTTCCATCAAATTTTTCAAAGTTTCATTATCAAAATTTGACTTATGCTCATGGGAATGTTTCTCAATATTCGTCTGCCTTATTAAAGGGAGATAACTACATTTGAGTTTCTTTGATTGGTGGTTGACTATATAAAAACTTATTTAGCTGTTGTTTAACATCTAATTATTTGATTTACCAGCTAAAAGAACTTCATTTAAAGAGATTGTAAAAAGGTTTTCTAAATTTTTTATGTGTATCAGGGACACTGATAGCATCAATTTACACCATTCCAATTTTCAATCAGATGTCTGTGGTTTCTGTAATTCCACTAAAACTAAGTGTTGGATGACGTAACTAACTGCTAAAAATTTATACTAGCATATACAGTTAAGTGTTTCTATATTTACAGGAGCCACAGACGTCTGATTGAAAATTGGAATGATGTAAATTGATGCTATCAGTGTCCCTGATACAGATATAAAAATTTGGAGAACTCCTTTACAATCTTTTTAATATATTTTAAATAAGCTATGTGGACTCTCAAGATTAGATTGTAGACTACAAGCTGCAGATAGAGACTTGAAATTGAAAATATTTCTGAATTATCCCAGTGTACACCTTATTGTATGTTTTAAGGGCTTTCAATACATATATTAACTTTTGTAGATTTGTTTTTCTAATTTAATTACTTTTTATGTTTGTAAATGATTTCTACTTTAAAGTTTTCATATTAACTAATTTAGTTTAAAGGGACAGATGCGCCATTATTTGACCAATCATACTTAAGTCGCAGAAACTGGAATTTTTTAGCTTAGCCAATCAGTTATAGTGTTCACAGCTCACTGTCGAAATTTGAATCTTCAAATCCATGTGTGTCTAGAATTATCCGTGTTTGAAAGTTAAAATGACGACTCGTCTTTTCTTGAGACACTGTCATATATAGAAAAGACATCTATAGAAATAGGAAAAGAAATTCCTAGTTTGAGAAATTTTTAAAGGAATTATGTGATTTTTGTACATTTCTAGTACTTCTGAAGATTATTTACATATATTCAAGACTTAAATCAAGCCCCCAAAATGGTGCATCTGTCCCTTTAAGCAACCCTCACACCAGTTGTGTATGGTAGTGAAAAATGGTGTGATGGCACATCTTTTTTGAGTATATAGAACTGAAAAAACTGCAAAAAATAAAGCAACAGGAAAAACACCCCTCATTTCAATAATGACCCTTCCCAACTCTCTTTCATAAACATTACCAGCGTGCATTTGTGGGAGGGTTCACATGAGGTCTGGGGATGTCATCTTGCCCCCATTTTCTCAACAAGAAAAAAATTGGTCATTTATGTTGAATTTTTCATTGAATTCTTACAACCAAAATGATTGCAAGATTTTTTGAGAAATTGACGGGCAAATGTTCCATTGACACCCCTTCACCTGATGTGAACTCTTCCAAAAATGCATTATATTTAGGCATTTGACAGCGGGATAGAAAGGTCCATTATTCAAACTAGGGGTGTTTTGCCTGTTCCTCTAATTTTTGTTCTCTGTACATTCCGTGAAATCTTCATCAGGGCTATTTTGATCTGTCAAGGGTGTATGAGCTTTTTCAGTACCTAACCCTTGATCACATAGGCTACTATTTTCAATAGAGATCATTTTACATTTAAAATATAGGATGTCAAATCTATCGATGAATCTAATTGGTCAAGAACTAAAATTTCAACCAATCGAAACTAGTATAGGCTTGTGCTTGTCTTAGGTACAGACACCAAGCCGACTCTCGAAAGCACTGGCACAGGCATCCGAATTTTTCTTACCTTGAGGAGGATTCAAACCCACTGCATCTTATTGCCTAGCAGACAATCCAACTCACTACAGACTGAGCTATTCCACTGCTGTGGAGTATATTAGGTAGTAACATTGCGGTAAAGTTATGTTACGAAAGCACGGGCCCAGGAAGTGTTAGGGTGATACAAGGCTTGTGTGATCAAGGGACAGAGATATTTGTACTCTTTGTAACATCATCGTTGTTATGTTCATTTATACAAACATTCTGTTCACCTGATTCCAATCTTTTATATAAATCATGAAATAAACTTATTTAAATTCACTAGATATGTGAACTCTCTGAAATTAATGCGAAGTTGACTTACCCAGTTCTGAAGAATGGTGCCAAGTGTCCCAGTTCACTATCAACAGACCCTTTAACTTAAATTCTCTATTAAACTTTATTAGCTATGTGAACTCTCTGAAATTAATGTGGAGTTGACTTACCCAGTTCTGTAGAATGGTGCCAAGTGTCCCATGCTCTTATTCACTATCAACAGACCTTTTATCAGCTTATGTGAACTCTCTGAAATAGAATATATTTTGCAGAATAGAATCCAGTGTTCCAAAGATGCAAGCATGCTCTAACTAACTAGCAACAGACCCTTTGGCCTAAGTTCTCCATCAATTCAATTAGCTATGCGAACTCTCTGAAATAGAATCTGATTTTGAAGAATAGTATCCAGTGTCCCATGATCTAACTGACTAAGTTTTGTAATGGAAAAAAGGATACACATGCAGTGTGTAATGAGGGAAATTTTACCAGGACTGATGCTAAGCCTTTGTTTATTGTTCCCCTTGACAACTAGATGCTATTTCCATGTCAGTTTCTTCAACCTGTATCATCAGATGAGATGGGAGGGGGGTGGGATGGGATGACTAGGTTGAAAAATTCGCAGGTATTATCTCGATCAATACCAGAATGAAATCTTAGACAAGAGTTGTGAATGACCTTTGGTGTAGGCTATATCATCAGGTGAGGGGTAAGTAAGTGCTCCCCTACGCCCCACCCTCACTCCTTTGAAAAAGGTGATACACCTTTGGTGTAAGCTCATCAAGTGAGATGTAAATAAGTGCCCCCCCCTCCCCCCTCCTACAAAGAATGGTGATTGACCTTTGGTGTAAGCTGTATCATCAGGTAAAGGGCAAGCAAGTGCTCATATTGACATATTTTGGCATATTTCATTGACATATTTTAATGACATAGTTGAATGACATATTTTGGCATATTTCATTGACATATTTTGGCATATTTTAATGACATATTTTGCCATATTTTAATAACATATTTTGGCATATTTCATTGACATATTTTGGCATATTTCATTGACATATTTTGGCATATTTTAATGACATACTTTGGCATATTTTAATGACATATTTTAATGACAAATTTTGGCATATTTCATTGACATATTGGGGCATATTTTAATGACATATTTAGGCATATTTTAATGACATATTTTAATG